ACACCTCAATCACACTATTGTCCGGCTACGATCAAGGCTTTCAAGTCGAGAAGAAGACCTGGGTTAACCGTGCCTTAGTGACAATAAACTGTTTTTCGACAGCATAGCTTAAGTCGAGAAAAGCTATATGTCAACGAAGACCCTTCGAGTTCGATTCCATTCAGCTCGAGGGCTTATCAACCACATGGTAGAGTTAAGGAACTACTTCCCAGTCAAATTTTTAACTAGGTCTTCAAGCCAAGAAAAAGACTGAAGTTGACTACAATTTGGCAATGAGAAGCCACAATCCGATTCAAATCCTGAATTATAGTTTCAACTCCATATCATTTCAAGATGGACTCGGCTTCGCGACAAAATGGCCATCCGCAACACAATTCGACAGGGAGTTATTCATACTTCAAGTCAATTTTTAACTCTATCGAGCGAAAATTTGTGTCATTTTATTTTTGTCCTATTTTTCGTTCCACAAAAAAGACAATGAGGGGCAGCTGTAGACACTCATTTTCACCTGAAGTTATTTTGTTTATATATATATATATATCATCTTATTATATATATATATATAGTTTGTGAAAATGTTTTTGACAAAATATAATATATAATTTTCAGAAAATGATTTTCGAAAATTTATATATTATATATTTTTTTTGAAAATATTTTTAAAATATAATATATAGTTTTGAAAACATTTATATACTGTATGGTTTTTAAAACATTTTGAAAACTTATATAGTATATAGTTTTTAAAATGTTTTTAAATATAATATATAGTTTTAAAAATATTTTTGAAAAATATATATATAGTTTAAAAAATATTTTGAAAAATTATATAGTATAGTTTTAAAAACATTTTTGAAAAAATATATAATATATAGTTTTAAAAATAGTTTTTGAAAACTTATATAATATTTTTTAAAACATTTTGAAAACTATATAACATATAGTTTTGAAAACTTTTTAAAATATAATATATAGTTTAAAAAAATATTTTGAAATATATATATTATATAAATTATATTTAGTATATTATTATTATTATTTTTTATTTTATTCATTTTATTATTTTAATTCATTTCAATTTTCTTTTCCAGGTCTAATGATTTGGTCCGGTTCAAAGTGGTCCAACAACCGTCCAAGTCCAACCAGAACAAGCCTGAACCAACCCATACAGTTAGGGTTTTCACGTTTGGAATCGACACCGCATAGGAGAAACAGAGGGTTCCAGAAGTCTAAAGCCACAAATGGCAGTCAAGGGACCACGCACAACGGCGCGAGATTCCGGCCAGGGAAATCGGGACTGACCCATCCTGAAATCCCCGCCAACAGCAAGCATGTTACCATGGTAATCGGAGATAGCCAACGGCCGATGAAGGCCTATAAATACATCACAGTACACTGCAAAAAAAAAAACACAACAGAAACCAAGCAAACTGAACAACAACAGTACATCACCGAAAGAACCCGAGAGAAAACAGTACCAACAACACCAAACACAGTCGAAACAGAACAGCGAGAGTCCATCACAGAAACGACGGTACACACAAGATCATCGAAAAAAAGTAAACCGAGGTGTCATATTGAACCACAAAAACATATCAAATAACCAAAAACCATTAAGCCAACATCACAAACAACAAAAAACAACAGTAAACCACAAACCATTCGAAGCCAAACACACCGGGAGCCGAAGAGTCATCTTCGGTGTGGTAAAAACTGAAACTAAAAACGTAGATCTATGTTTTTGGGGGCCGTTCTGTGGGATTTTGTTTACGGATTAGTGTTGAGGAGGTAGAGGAGGTTATTTTGGAGAGGTTTGGGTTTTTCCGGCCGCCGGCAGTAGCGGCCGGCGCGGTGGGTGGCCATCGGAGTGGTGGCCGGATTTTGGCCGTTTTATGGGAGAGTTGAGAGCATTTTCTCGGCTGAGGGAGAAAGGATTTGAGAGAAAATATGAAAATGAAATGAAATGAAATGAGGTGTTTTAGCTTATTTATATTCCAAGGACCATCCTGCAAATACAAGATTCTTAAATTCCTTTCGTCGTCCCTGATACTTTGAGTCGCAATTCAGTTTGGTCACTACCTGTAAAGTTGCCTTCGAATTTCCAATTTAATCAATTTAGTCCCTGCTTATATTTTTTATATTTTGTGAATTGGAACCTAACTTTTTCTTTTTTCTTTTACAGTTCATTTTAATACCAATCTAGTCCATTAATTTCAATTTGTCTCAATTTGATCCTCTAAGTTGTTACTTTATTTTATTTTTTATTTTTCTTTATTTTATTACTTTTTAAAATTTAACATTTTTTAATATTATTAATTATTTTCTATTTTATTTTATTTTTCTTTTATTTTTCATTTTCTTTGATTTCTTTTGTTTTCCTTTGACTTTTTCTCTCTCTCATTTTTCTTGTTTTTTTCTTTATTTAATTTTTCTTTTTTATTATTATTTTCTTTATTTTCATTATTTTATATATATATTCATTATTTTTATTTGTTTTGCCTTTCTTTTCGTTTTTTGTTTCATATGTATATACGTTTTCTTTTCTTTTCTTTTTATGTATTAAATATTATGTTATATAAATATATATGTTTTTTATTTTTTATTATTTTTTAGTTTGTATTTTTATTTTTTTCCTTTTCCTTTTCCTTTTACTTTCATTTTTATTTATTTTATTTTTCACCTAGATTTAATAATGTTTTTTAAAATTTTATTTTTCCTTTTGATTTATTTTATTTTATTCTTTATTTTTTATGTTTTTCTTTGATTTATCTAACATTTTTCTATTATTATATTTTCTAACATTTTTGACTTTTTTAGAAGAACTCCAACCAATTAAAGGTAAGTAATTTGAATCGGGTTTCTAAATTTAAATTTAAACTTTTTAATTTTTGCAATTAAGACAACCGATAAATTAATTAGTACCGAAAGGGCGGTTCAAGGGTGCTAATCATTCCTTAACCGTAACCGACTCCTGAACCCGACACGTTTCTGGTACAACACAGATCATGTAAGAAATAGAGTATCCGATCAACCCATTAGTTTTAAAATAAATGATCGGTGGCGACTCCAATTCATTTAATCCAAGTCGAAGCTCAATTCCGAGACCCAATCGAAAAACGTTTCTGATAGTATTCATCTACACACTATTTGTGCTAATTGCCATCCCGTTGAAGACGCTCGGCAATTATGTCCAAATGCGCAATGTGTTTTTGCTAACCACTGCTTTGATTGTCTTAGACAGATGCCAATTGTCGAGAAACAAGTTTTGTCGGGAAAAATATTGGTCCAAATTTTCAGTTAATCCCTCAATGGCTGTAGATCGGCGCCCACTCTCCTTTATTTCATTTGGCAGAATGCCACATGCAGGCCTTTTAAATCTCATAAAGTTGGTGAAGATTTTGGTAGCGAAGGTAGTTGAGTCGAGTGGACCTTGCAGTTAAGGATCAGCATCCGATCGAGTCGTGTTAAAAAAATTTGAGTTATTTGAGTTGATGAGTCATATTTTATAACTCGAAGTTGACTTAAAATTTTTTCAAGACGAGTCAAATTTTTGAGTTTCTGTTTAAATTTAATCATAAATATTTATAATATTATTTGATTATAATTTAAATGATTTTTTATAACCATATTCAATACATGTGTATTTCTTCATTTTTTTCATGTGTAATATACATTTATGATAAAAGTCGATGGACTCAACTCAAACTTGAAACCAATCTATAATTACTAAAAAATTTGAGTTATTCGAGTTGTATTTTATAATTCAGTTTGAACTTAAATTTTTTAATCGAATTTATAAAATTACAACTCGAAATTAATTTGAGTCAATCGAATTGAAAAAAATCAAATTTTTAAGTCGAGACGAATTTTACTCGCCTCTACTTCAATCTATTATTTCAGATGAACATGGTAAATTTGTTGCTGCAAAAACATGATTAAATCTATTAAATGAGCATGGTCGAGCGGGTAGCTTGTTCGTGGAAGCCACTACTATTATTGAGAGAAAATAAAAAATTAATTTGATTGAAAAGAATTTTATTTTATGTCGAATAAAATTAGAAAATTTACTTTGAGTATATTTTATTTTTTTAATCAATCAATCATTCCTATGAATAAATATTAGGATTAGAGATTTTATATTAGGGTGAACTTTTGAAATTTTAGAAAATGATGAACTTATAAAATTTTATATGATAAAAATAGTTTTTCAATAAAAACACATAGAAACAATCTATAGTAATTTTAAATTTTCAGGAGCGACTGTCCTCCCGACCCCCTCGATCCATTCCTAATTAGAATCACATGACAAATTTTTTTATATTTTTTTTATTCTCTCTCTTTTGACATTAGTGAAAATTCTCTTATTCTTAAAAAATCCCTTATTTTACATGTAGTTTTTCTCAAAAATATTTTTTCACATAGTAATCTTAACCTCGATCGATACGATTGTTATTATCTTCTAGGATAAATTACACGTTTAGTATGTCAACTATCATTTTTGTTTTATTTTGGTCATCCAATTATTTTTTGTTTCAAAATCATGTATAATGTTATGTTTTGATTTTATTTTGGTCACCCAAAATTTAACAGTGATATTGTCGTATTACCATAATATAATACCACGTCCTCATTAAAAAATCTAAAAATATCACGTCGGCAGTCTGCTAATTTTTTAATGGGTGACCAGAATGAAACAAAAGATGTTAGATATGATTTTGAAAAAAAGTAATAGTTGGGTGACCAAAATGGAATAAAAGTGATAATTGGATACTAGGCGTGTAGTTTACCCTATCTTCTAACATATATCTAGGCTAGTATATACTTTTTTGTCACCATTCCACTGTATATTCCATTTTGTATACTATCACATTGATCCACAATTATTTGTATTGGCATCAAGTGGTTAAAGTCCATGTCTTAGCATTAAATTTCCCCGGACCAATCTGATATATTAATCATTGTTGTCATCTGCAATTCCATTTGACAATCCAGGGCTTTTCTTTTTCTTCTTCCCTTTTCTTTGTCGTTTGCATCTGAATTCGCCTCAAAATGCTTACTTTAGCGACAATCTTTGGTTTACTAGGTAATACAAAGTAACTCCATTTTTATCTTTTGATTCATGAACAAATCCCATGTACGCAAAGTATCATTGATCTCTTCTGACATGTTTTTTGTTTTCAGGTAACATCACCACTGGTCTGGTTTACCTTGCACCAGTGTAAGCTGTGAAATTTTTAAGTTTTAAAGATCATGATTCACCGAAACCTATATGAACCATGTGTGATTTGATTCTTGAATCATTTGATTGTCGTTGTGGTCGTCGTTATTTTTTCAGGAACACATTCTGGCACATCGTACAAATTGGATCGACCGAAGAATTCGATAGTCTTCCGTATGTTGTGAAATTATTAAACGGATACATGTGGGTGTATTATGGAGTTGTGAAGCCTAACAGTGTTCTCGTTGCCACTGTTAATGGCTTTGGTGCTTTACTCGAACTTGTATATGTCATCATATTCCTAATATTTGCACCTCCAAGAATGAGAGTAAGTTTTAATTGAACATTATAAACGAACCCCAAATGACTGAATAAAAGATCGAAAATTTGACCCATTTTGTTATAATATTTTGTTGGGAATATGTAAATTTCAGGCCATGACCGCCATACTTTTTGGTACTTTGGATGTGGTGTTCCCAATAGCAACCGTTGTGATAACTCAGATGTCATGTAATAGAGAAACGCAGATCAGTATTGCAGGATTCTTGTCTTTGCTTTTCAGTGTTGTTACCTATGCTTCACCTCTCTCTATCATGGTAACAGTGTTACAATTCTAAGTTGTTACTAAAGGATATGTCAAGGAGAAAAATTATAAAATTTTAGACGGTAAAATTAAATCATTAATAAAAAATATAAAAGTCTAAAGTTTTCAGGGATGGTCGCTCTCAACTCCCTTGTACCATTCTTGTTAATAATGCTTGAATTTGTTATTAATAATGGTTATTGGTGAAGTGCAGAAAACAGTGGTGACAACAAAGAGTGTAGAGTACATGCCTTTCCTCTTATCTTTCATCCTTTTCATCAATGGATTAGTTTGGACAGTGTATGCTGTGATTACTCGAGACTGGTTTATCGGAGTAAGTTCTTGTTCACAATCCTCCGTTAATTATATACTGGATTCTACGTATCCATCGTGAATATTGCTAGTAAGAATATTTCTAGTAAAAATATTGATGCAAAACAACGTAAGTAGTTAGAATTTATTAGAGTGAAATTTTGTCCACGTATAAGTTCTTTGGATTATTGTAGTTTTCACCTAGTTGTATATTCTTTTCTTCCATGTAAGATTAGTGAGGTTTTTAACAAGACTCAACTTAGGTCTTCTTAATGAATAAAGAAAGAGAACGATTCAATTAATGAATTTTACGTATTTGTGGTGAATACAAGTCGAATAGGTGAGACTAACAGATGTTGGATTTTGGGTGTAGATACCAATGGGAGTGGATTTGTTTTTGGAACAGCTCAGTTGGTGCTGTATGCAATGTATTGGAAACCTAAGAAATCAAAGAGGACGACGTTCGATCATGTGGTGGAAGACGGATGCCCAACTGAGCATCTCCTGGACCATTCTGCTCCATTGCTACACAAATATGAGAGCAGAGCTGTGGCCTAATATCACTTTGCTCCGTAAGGAAAAATAACAAATAAAAGCAAACGATGCAAAACATTCGCGTTTTTCGACTATTCGATCAAATAATATCCGTCAATTCTTGTATCAGTATCATATTTACGTATTTTTATAAAATTGTATAGTATTTATAATTATCCTTGCCTTCTATTTAGTTGTTTGAGATATTGTGGCAACAGTTTTTTGAAAAATGTTTTGCTTGAAGTGAACATCCAATGGTTCAGTCTCTTTTATTTTATGTGGTGTGTTAAACTCTTATGCAAAATGGTTAGAAGTACACCATACTATCTGTTCAGGTATAATCTTATACTTCCATGGATTTGCAGGCAGCTGGTACGGTAAATCTGTAAATGGTTACATTCTCTGTAGCAAGCACTACCGAACCCGAATCCGAATCCAACATCGAGTAAGTGAAAACCGAAACCGAAATCTTATTTTCAACAAGAGAAAAAGAAAGCGTACATTGTCATCCCTACATAGTTTACAGCTCTTCAGCGCCGTCTATAAATATTATCCCATGCTAAAGCTATATAGCCAGACGTACACATTGCATTGCAAAACAGAAGCAGTAAACTCTATTTGACATTACATTGTAGGCTTCAGCAGTAAAGACCTCATCCTAGACACTATGCAAATAAACGATACGTCGTAGAATAACGGATCACCGGAGATCAGCTCACATCTCACACGTCATAAGGAGTAGGAGCGCTCCTAGGTCCAACATTGCTCCCGGACTTTTCGTATGCGCCCGATGTAAACCTTCTCCAAAATCGAAACGGCTCCTTACATCAATATGAGACATAAAATTACGAAAGGATGTAACTTCAAGTCGGGACAATGCACGCAAATGTATCGCAAAGACATTCAAAAGAACAAAAACTTTTAATAATGATACCACAAATGAAGCAAAGTCCTTCATGAAATTAGAACTTAATGTGATATGTAGTTTTGATTTTTAGCGTCAAAATATGTAGATTGTTGAGACATTAGACCCCACATAATTAAAAGAAATTCTTTTTAACCTACCGAATGGACCGAACTAGGGTATGCATGTTCCTTAAAACTTTATTTCTTTGCATGCATTATTGTACGTCAACGAGGACTCTATTGTCATTTCATGGAACCAGACAAAATACTCGCTTGCATCCACCTAACGTTGCATTGATCTTTATCCATCGAGGAAACATACAAAGTTTCCAAATGACGTAACTACCCTCCTACAGCCCGCTTATCAGATAACACGAATTACGTTGACCGATTTACCCTTCGAGTCCTCGACAGTCCACCTTTCCATGGCGGACAGTTCTGTGGTTACGAAATAAATTACGGACAAATTCGACAATCACAGATGATTGCTTTTACATATATATTACCAGATAAAGGAGATACCGGAGGAGTAGATTCTGCCGGCGAAACCGGAGGCGATCCGCTCTGGTAACGAGGCGATTTTACGATCATGATCGAACGTGTCACTTTGGTCGTTTTCTCCGACGGCGTTTCATCATTGAACGATCTCACACTCCCGCCATCGGATTCTGTTCATCCACATCGTCGAACCAAAATGAAGAAATGATGAGTTGAAAAAGAAATAAAATCTTAACCTTCTGACCGGCAAATAATAAAGTTCGGTTTTCGTAACGATTCTTCTTTAATGATAGCTGCTCAGCAGTTCAATTCAACGCTTTTCAATTACTTTGCTGACAATTTTCATTGCTTATATATATATATATATATATATATATTGCCCTTTTGATGTACGGAAGAAGTAGTGAAGTGGAGTGGCCTAACTATAAGCGTACCCTTGGAGGAGTTAGGCCGGGAAGTGAAAGAGGAGTGCTTCCGTAGCTTGTCCAGACCGTTATCGGGTCGAGGACCAGCAACGGTGTCGTCCCATAACTGGTCAAGTAGCCCCATAGTGATCAGAAACTGGACAGGAGATGGGGTATCTTAAGATCTTTTTGTTGTTGAAAAAAAAGAAGTCGATAGCCGGGATGGAACGGTGACTGAACGGAGATATTTAACTACGAAATGAGCGGAGTTAAAGGTCGAACAAGTTAGGATAAACTTGGACCGTTGGTTTAGATCGGAGGAAAAAGTAACGACATGGCAAATGAAAGGAAGGCGCGTGGTTGGGGATAAAATCAGGTGGGACCAAAATTGTCTAGCATTGCTTTAACTATCACTGTCACGTGACTAGGTCATCTTCTATGAAGTTGAAGACTGAAATTTCTAAAATGCCCTCGACTTTCATTTGTTTTTCCCCCTTAAAGATTACTTTTGTTAATAAGCTCAATTTTATCATTTTTTCTCGTATTCTTTTTTTGCATTAACTTAATTTTTAAATTTGTTTAATTAAATTAATGTTTAAAATATTTAATATTGTCTAGGATTTTAAGGTAAGATTTAGAGTTTAAAATTTTGAATTAGGTTTAAGATGGTGCAATTAAACAATTCTGATAGCTAAATTGATGAGAAAATGCCACAGTGATAAAAATGATAAATTAGATTTACTACAAAGATAAAAATAGTACTTAAGTCTTTTTTTTAATTTACCTTGGCTTCATTTGGATGTAAATGGTTAAGGTTATTTTAAGAAAAAGGTATAATGTCAAAATTAATACCCAATGTTTATCAAATAGACATTTTAACTTTTTTTGGGACTATTTTAGCACAACGTTTTACTCAAGGGAAAAACACTACTATTTGATAAAAAAATCACTTTGGCCCATATTTTTTTTCTTGGAGCATTTCTGCCCTCAATGTTTCATGTTAGGGTAGAAAACACCTTTATTTTTAAGCGTTTGATCGTGTGCTAACTAACGATTTCCATCTATAGAGGGGGATTGATGCCAAAAAATAAAATAATAAGGGCAAAATGCTCCCCAAAAATGAGTCAAAATGACTATTTTGATAAACATTGAGGGCTAATATTGGTATTATGTAACACCCTTAACCCGAATACATGTACAATTACGAGTTAAATATATATGTTGAACCAATTTTTATAATATTTTGATATAACAAATTAAGGCAAAATGTTTTTGGACTTGAATTGAATTTGTTCAAAGTTTTCAAAAGTTTTCAAAAATAATTCAAAGTCCATTAAAATAGAATTTGAGCACAAAACTGATTTTCTGGGTGCTTAGTACCGATATTGTTCCTATAGTACACAGATACCAAAGATAAGAAAAGTATCGATAATCTAATGGTAATATCGATACTACCAGTTGTTTTCCAAATAACTCTAATTCCAGAATACAAAATAGGTACTGATACTCAAAGGAGTACTGATACTACTTTACACATTAGTATTGATACCATGAGCCTAGTATCGATACTGGTCAAGCCCAATGGCTAGTAAGGGCTAGTTGATTTAAAAATTATAAAGGAAGTACTGATACTCATTAAAGGAGTACCAAAACTCTGTGTATTGGGCAGTTTTATTTTGCAGAAAATTAATCTCTAACGGCTAGAAAGTTTAGGACACTTAAAGAAGGGTTAGAACACCTATCCAAGTAATCAAACAAAAGAGAATAGTTTTTCATTCTTATTTTTCCTTTCTATTGTAAATATTAGTGTTTTAGTGAGTTTAATTTTGTAAACACCTACCTTGTGAGGTTTTCTTGTTTACACATTTTATACCTTTGTAAAAGAGGAGTGGTTATATCTTAGCCATTAAAAAGATAGGGATTTGTAAAGGTTATCTCTTTGTCCTGAAAAAGAAAGAACAAATTAGTGAATTTATTAGAAAATCTTTGGTCAAGAGCTAAGGTAGTGGATGTAGACTTTGGTTGAGAAAGTCGAACCACTATAAATCATTGTGCATCAATTTTTCTCAAATCCATTTCAATCCCTCTTGGAAATATATTCGGTTGTTTAATTGAGTTTCATCGAATATCCCAACAATTGGTATTAGAGTTTGACTCATTAGAAGGTCTAACAATCTTGAGACGATCCTTGAAGAAGCTTTATCCATTTTTGAAGCAACCGAGAATATGGCTTCCACTTCTGGGTCGTTCCACATAGAAGACTTCCAACCGATCAACAAACCTCCATACTTCAATGGAGCCAACCTACAACACCCTCAACCCGTATCCGACCCGAATACGAGTCAGAAGTGTCACATTGACTTTTCAAACCTTTTTCTTATTTCAAATCGAGAATATTCAAACTCAATTTAAAACATACTAAATGGTTTACATATAACTATTCAAAACGTTTACAAAACTGTTCATAGCTTATACAATTTACTCTTTTAAATACATGCCAACTAGATTTTTATATACTAAAATACATATTATTCATTTCTCTTCTGATTTAACCCTCGGTAAGGAGAACTGACCTATCTTGCTTCTCATCGATCTATAAGCTCATCAAAACCTACGTGTGAAACACTAACACGCTAAGTCGTAGACTTAGTGAGCCATATAAAAACCTAAAATAAACTATAACTAATTCACAAATGCATATACATATATTGTGACACAACACAATGTTTGAACAATTACTACTATCATATAGATTCACATAATAATTCATATAACACTTGCACACATACATGTATATGTATATGCATTTGTGAATTAGTTATAGTTTATATTGGGTTTTTATATACCTCACTAAGTCCACGACTTAGCGTGTGAGTGTTTCACATGCAGGTTTTGATGAGCTTATGGATCGATGAGAAGCAAGACATGTCAGTTCTCCTTACCGAGGGTCATATCAAAAGAGAAATAAATAATATGTATTTTAGTATATAAAAATCTAGTTGGTATGTATTTAAAAGAGTAAATTATATAAGCTCTGAATAGTTTTGTAAACATTTTGAATAGTTATATGTAAACCATTTAGTATGTTTTAAATTGAGTTTGAATATTTCTCTATTTGAAATAAGAAAATAGTTTGAAAAGTCAATGTGACACTTCTGACTCGTATCCGGGTCGGATACGGGTTGGGGTGTTACACAACCACTGTCATTGGAAGAAATTAATGAAGCTATTCATCCAATCCAATGATCTTGATACATGAGAGATGATCCAGAACAACTACTTTTCTCCAAAGAAGAAGACGAAGGAGTAGAGTGCCCTAGAACGAAAGAATGCCCAACAAGGAACTTTAGAAACAAGAAAGAAGAACCAACAAATGTGGTGTGCTTAATGGCTCTTGAAGATCCCGATGTATCTTCTAACTCTAGTGAATCAAATTCTTATTCTTTTAATGAGTTACAAGATGCATACGATGAATTATTTTTAGAGTTTGAGACCATGAATTCCAAATACAAGAAAATGATTTCAAAATTTAAAGTTGAAAACGATTTTCTTTTGAAAGCAACATTAGATTTTTTAAAACAAAATGAAATTTTGAAAAAGGATTTAGAGCTTTCAAAAGTAAAAATTGAAAATTTTGAAAAAAATGCTTTGATTTAAAAGTTAAGCCTTAATGCTTAACAAAATAAAAGGAAATCATTTTAAATATTTCATCTAATTTCATAATGACAAAATGCTCACATTGTCATTATCATAGTCACAAGGAACATACTTGACCTATAAAGAAAAGAAAATCTTTTAAAATTAAACAAAGTATGGGTTCCTAAAGGAGCAAGGGGCATTGAAACTAATGCCCAAATATTCAAAGCAATTTGGATACCAAAATCCAATTAAATGTCTCTTGTAGTTGTGTGGGAGCAATGGTGATGAAAATGAAGATATTTAAATGCTCTAGCCACACTTGGAAATGAAAAAGTAATCTCTAAGTTTAATGTTTTTGTTTTGATTAATTGGTTGCCTATTTGTTGTATGCATGCATGAGTTTTGCACTTAAATGATTTTATATTGATTTTTTATCTCATGTATGTTAAAAAGGGTTGTGATGAACATTTTCTAAAGTTTAAATGATTTTTCATAAATGTTTGATCGTCATAATGAATTTTGGTCAAATTTGATTTTAATGCTTTGTTTTTACAAATTTTAATTTTTGACCTTAATTTAAATGTTTATGCATGTGATTTATTACAAATGATATCTCTCTAACAATTGATATCAATTTTTCAAATGCGTAACATTTTTGGATAGCTTTATACACATGCACTTAAATACAAAAATTGGTATTGCATAAAGGATATTAAACTTGGATATTGAATTTCATGTGTTACAAACATGTTTGTTCATCTTTGTTGAAATTCAATGTCTTTTAAGTGTCAAGCTTTTAAAGTCAAATTTTTATTTGGAATGCTTTTATTGAGGGGGAGCTTTGATTTTTCAAATGATTTTATGCTAAAATTTACCACTTACTCTCCATTGTTATTTTTTAACTTTAAAGTTGAATTATTTTTTATATAACAAAAGGGGGAGAAGTATAGGTTTGTAAAATTTAATTTCAATAATTAAAAAGGGGAGTTTTAATATTTTCTAAATTTTGCTCTTTTTCATTCAATATTTTATTAAAGGAGAGTTTTGCCAAAAAACATTTTTTTAAATGTTTTGTTATATAAAAAATGGGGAGATTGTTGAACCATGTTTTATAATATTTTGATATAACAAATTAAGACAAAATGTTTTGGACTTGAATTGAATTTCTTCAAAGTTTTCAAAAGTAATTCAAAGTCCATTAAAATAGAATTTAAGCACAAAACTGATTTTCTAGGTACGTAATACCGATACTGTTCTTGTGGTACCGATACCAAATGTAACACCCTCAATACCGGGTTAGTGACTAAATTGTAAAATTTTAGAATCTGGTGATTAAAGTAGAATAGTTGAATAATTCAATGATTTATTTGTAAATATTTCTAAAAGTTGTTAATAATTATCAAAGGAAATAAAGGGTAAAATGATCATTTGACTTGAAAATGATAAGATAATGATATATAGGTATGGGGGGATAAGATAAGGAGATATTTTCTCCATTTCTTCTTTATCTTCTTTCTTCTTCTCCAACGTGAAGCACCCAAGCAAAGGTAAATTTTCTGATTAGTTGATTATTTGTTGATTTTAAGTATAGGTTTTGATACTTAAGTGATACTTAAGCTTAAGGAAAGCTTAAGTTGTCTTAAAATCGAAAGATGAAAAAGTTATGAAAGATTAAAAGAATGAATTTTTAAGTGAATTTATGGAAAATAGTTGATAAGTTGAATTTGAAACTAAATTTGACTTGTCATCAACTTAATTAAGAGAT